TACAAAATGCATAAATAAAGAGTAACGTATTTCCGCATTCCATTGAACAATTTATTTTACATTTCTTGCTTTAAGGCGTAACACTTACTGTTAAGGATTAGAAACCTGCAGCATTGTTTGATGGGATAGCGTATTTGTAGCACTCGAACAGTTTTATGATGCAACATCTTGCATGTTGTGCCATTTCCTGTTGTGCTGAGAGACAGGTGTAGTTTTACATCAATCCTACCTTTTTGTGGCCCCTTTTGAATAACGTGAGAAAACACACTAAAAGTAAAAATATGTCTAAGTGAAGGGCAAAAGTGTTTCATGTGAGTACAGCTGTCTTGCAAAATAACATCAGTATTCTATTTGTACTGCGCTACAAGAACACAACCGTTGATCACATCAGTCATATACTGTATTTACATAAACAGTAATATTTTCTTCTTACCTACAAATGGTTGCTGTCTTGGCAAATTATTTTAACCATATAAACTATTGCTACTTAGTTAGCTAGCTAAGTCAAAACTGTTGTTGTAATAACTGTAGTCCCTGACCGGTGTCGAGCTGTTAGCTGAAGCGGTCCCGCTTGGCGTTAAATCCATCGACTCGGATCCTAAATTCGGCTTAAAGAATTAAGAATTAATTATTCGGCTTCTAGAAGTTTTTTTTGTTACCTGGGTTTTGGTCAGCCCAGAGGAAAGTCCTTGCAGTCCCAGGCAGCTCGCATGAGCATTAGGTGAATGTACAAATTTCATTTTACAGCAGACTAAGGGGGTGGTTCTGCTGTTACATGTAAACACTGAATGCGGACGTGTCAACAAGTATTTCTTCCTCGAATCAAGATCTGAAAAGCTCCGCGTTTCCTCCGCCCGTGCCCGTGTAAATGGGGCGAATTTTCAGATGTTGATTTGAGGAAAAAAATCCTCGGCACCAGGACACTTCTCTAAACAAAACGTTCAGATTCACTCACACATGCCTGAAGCTCTTTGGGACATACCGTAATAAATGAATAAGTAATTAAATGAAAAATGAGAGATGCTAAAGAGCAGGATAAGGAGGAATGTGAGGGACTAAGAAAATGCTTGAGGGAGCCTCCGAGCAGAAGGGGAGGTCAATCAACAACAATGAGGGTGAGAAAGAAATTGAGATGGACCCTCTGAATGGACATTTGCACGAAAATAGACCATGTCTGTCAGACCCAGCACCATGATGTATGAGGCTAGACGACAATGGAAACTGCAGCCATTTGAAAAACTCTTGCAACTTTCCTTGCTTGTTTGCTTCTTTTTTCTTGTTTCTACCTCACCTCCAACCCCAGTCATTATTTTATTTTTGTTCTTTTGCCTACCCTTTAGTCTCTAATCATCTAATTGATTTCTGAACGTGGCATTCTCAAAAATATACCAAGAAATTTTAGTATTTTGTGCTGGCTTGAACAAAAACGAACAAGCTTCACCCTAGTATGTCTGGAAAAGTCATGTCAAGTTTATCTAAATGTTCGTTTAAACATGTACAACACAAAACACACATTTTATGACTGGTTCAGCTATCCTAAACACGGAAAAGAGTTTGGCGCAAGAAATAAAAGTGTGGAGAAATGTAACCAAGAACAGCTGGGGTGTCATCTTCCACACCTGGCAGAGAGTCAACAAGTGTAAAATATTTTCTCCAGTGGGAAGATTTTTGTAGCAAGACATTGAATTGCTATAATTAAATTAGAGTTAGGGGATACTTGAGCACCATTTCTCCCCATAAGCATGATTTCTGTACAGCAACACCCAACTTTGACTCAAAATTGTGGACAGTATCAAAAATGCTAACATATGCTCCACCACTAAGTGGTAAGAGCATCCAAAATACCTATGGTACATGTCAAAATACACAGAAAAATAATTTTAGCTTTGGTAAAAAAAAAAAAAAATGTTTTAGAGCAATTGTAGCTCAAATTTTTTGACTCTACATTTTCTCCCCTCAGATATTATTTATTTTTCAGCTCAGCATCAATGGAGACAGGATCAGGATAAAGTGAGACAGACGCAGAAATAATATGCATTTTTGTTTTGGTATTTGGTTTGTGATTGTGAGCGTATGCAAATATGTCATACAAATGTCATAATTTATCAGACTCCATATTTTGAGTTCACACAAATTCATCAAAAAATGAGTTTATCTCTTCTCTTCTTTGCAAAAAAAGAAGTTTAATTGTAGACAAGAGGTACACATGTAGCTGAAAATGTCCATTTAAAAAACAAATAATTTGTAGAAGAATCAGATTAGCTTTATCTGAAGAAAGAACTACAATACATGCAAAACTGTGTCATTTTCAGCTGTCACATTTTATTTGATCCGGGTGGTTTCATTGGGCATTTGCGTCACTCAAAACATATAAAGTAGACCGTTTCTAATTTTGTCGCTTTTTCTGGTAGACAGTTTGTTCCTTTCTCAAAAAGCAGCACACATGCACACAAACACACACCCCTGTTGTTCTCGCTCTGGCTTCCCTGTGAATAAAGGCTGCAGAGCTGTTTGGCTGCAGTCTGCGGGGCCACTAACGCTTATCAGAAGTGCTTACAACCCCCGTACTGATGCTTCTGATATGAAAGACAATGGGTATGCGTGCATAGAGCCAGCTTTCTTTAAAGCCTCAGTGAAGCTGACTTCATTTATTTAGCTCTTTCATGAGGTCAGGGTAGCCTGCTGATTGCATTTCATCACTGAATACAAGTCAGACAGTCATAATAAACCTTATATGACGGGGACATGTGCAAGCAACATATCCCTTTTATTAGGAGAATGTACATAGAACTACAGTAGGTTAAGTCAATAACTCCTCTTTGAACATAAAATCAATTTTTTCTCAGCGCTTGGTCAAAGTTTATGGTCATGGTTTCATAAAACAAAGACCTATGACTGCACTTGGAGCAGAAATTCCAGTTTCTACTTCCTTTTGTAATCCTGTCTTTGTATTGAATTTGAGGTTAATTGCCCAGCCGGAAGCAGCTGTGGAGGCCACCGGAGCTGCAGGTGAGCTCTCACACATCAGCCTCCCACACAGCTTTTTGCTGCTTTCAGACAGTGGGGGCTCCTGAAATGAGTTGAGGTCCAAATAACAAAGAAACAACAAGACTCCTGAAAGCAGCATTACTGATAGTCTCAAATAAGATGCTGCATCGTGTTAAAGAAGGGAATCAAACCTTTTAATTTCTGTTTTTTAAGGCTCTGAATATTGAAATTGGCATCAAACTAAAAAGCAGACCATTGTTCTTTATTCAGTGGCTGTCAGTTATATGTCTGTGAAAGTGACTGTTGGGTTAAACCCATCTGAGGGTTTTGGGTGGGGACAGAAAACAGCCGATGTGGTTTACCGAACTTGAAAACTTTGGTTTCATTTTTAGGTAAGTTGGCGTGGGGCCCTGCAGGGAGCCAACGGCCCTGCCCCTGCAGACTGCAAATAATAGTTTGACCCCAGCTGTTTACAGGTTGATGTTGTAAATAAGTGCTTGAAAAGCTGCAAACACACAGCAGAAGAAATGACTGCTGCTTTTGGATCATTATCACTCGGGGTTAATTGGTGAAGGCTGACCATAACATTTTTGCCTGTGTCTGTGTGCATATGTGCATTTGTGTGTGTCCCTGGGGTCTCCTCCCAGAGACTTTCACCTGGAAAACCTCCCTATGGAGGCATCCAGGGGGCATTTGGCTTCCCAGCAGCTTTACTGTCTCTCTTGTATAACTGAACCCCTCACCCCATCTCTAAAGGGAGCTACCCTGTGGTGAAAACTCATTTTATACGCCATAAAAAATGACAGAAGTAAAACAAAATCACTCACTGCAACATGAGCGCAGCAGCTGAAGAAAATATCTTGTCTTAGATTTGCATTTGCTATACATTTAAATTCGGAAAATCCCAATTCTAATGATAAATCTACAATAGTACTGAATTTACTTGTCAAGTATATACTTAGATGTTGATTTTTTAAATGAAACTAACACTTGTTAGAAACTTTTCCTAAATTATTTGATATATTGTAATTCCATTTTTGAGTTCATTGACCATCACTTTTCCAAATAACAACAAAAATAAACAAGTCAGAGATCCAAAAGTTATTTAATATATTTTTTTTAATTCCAAGACTTATTTAATATGTTAACAATGGGATGTTGATTAGAACTTGCATTATCTGCAAAAGATTTAGCAGGTTAGAAACAAGATTTGTTCTTTTTCACATCGACACTGCCTCACAGGATGATGCTTTGGAGCACCTGGGACCATGAGTCTGCAACCTTTATGATTAAAAGAACCATTTTTACGCTTTCGTTCACTACATTAAACGTATCTGGAGCTGCAACAACCTGCTACAACTGTGATTATCAACTGGAGGCCCGTGGGCCACTTTAGGTTTGCTGGAGGGGGCTTTTGTGGCCAGTAGGGGTGCCAATATAAAGCAAAAAATATCCATTGATTTTTAACATTTATCAAAGTAAAAGACCAGATTCTTGTAAAAAAGGGGAGAAAATGAGTTTTTACCATGTTTTTATTAAATAAATAAAAAATTAAACCACGCAGACAGTTCTTCATAAAGAAATAAAGCATTAAGTTAAAGTATGTTTTACTCCTTGTACTCGCTCCAGTGTTCACATATTTGCGAAATAAATAACAGGAAAACTATTTGATCTAATCTTTTTTGTTATTTGTATAACCAATAAAATTATGTTAGTTTTGGTCAAAGTTTGAAAGAGCTGCAGCAGAGGGAGCAAAGAGCCGCATGTGGCTCCAGAGCCTCAAGTTGCAGACCCCTGGACTCTGGGACGGTGCCATGTCAATACGCATTGGTGTTGTTAGGTCCAGCCCCAGAGGCGGTGCTCCTGACGAGCAACAAGTGCGGCTCCAGTCACTTCAGGAGGTGGAGAGGAGAAGCACGCACGCTTTGGCTTCTTGCAGCAGAGCTGAACTTTAAACAGCAGAAGTGAACGCAAAGGAATCTGTTCTTCAAATCAGAAGAAAGGGAGTTTTTAAAAAGGAGAAGAAACGCAGGTAAGCTTTTAGTATTTAGAAAAACTTGGAAGTTTTTCGGCTTTTAACCACGGAGATGCTCCACATAAAAACGGATATGCTACTAGTTAAAACATTTGTTTGCTAAATACTTAAAGGGCAAAAGCTTTAGGGGAATTGTTGAGAGTTGTGATTTTCTCGCTTTCTCTCCATTGTGGGTTTGTTTGCCTCTCCATTCAAATCTGAAGCCAGACAACTGTGAGCTCACATCAGATAACACGTTTGTTTACAGCCTGATATAAGCCAACAATGACTACAATGACATTGTATGTATTTGCAGTGAGCAGCAGCGCTCCGGGATCTCTCCTTCGGTTAGGCGCCCGTGCGTAATAACGCACCAAAGCCGGTTATCGCGGAATCGTTGCGTCCTGCCCTCTGAGATTTTTATCCTAAACTCAAAAGCCTGTCGGTCGAGACTGACAGGAGAAACTTCTAACAAGCACCTGTCGACAGCGATGCTGGCATCCGTTTTGCTTTTGTTTGTGTACTTAGAAACAAGTGACGTTTCTTGGTGACGAGATAACAGGTTAAAATGGAAAGAGAGCACGAGAGAGGTGGACTGCATGTGCAACAGGCTGTTATCTGATGGGGAGGGTGGTAAAGGCTGAAGTCACCTGGCACCCCCAGGTTTTTTTTTTTTTTTTATGAGAGGGCAATAGAAACACTAGATAATCCCAATAATCTGAACAAGTCTCAGGACATCATAATTAATTTAAAGTAAAAAAACAAACAAACAAACAAACAAAAAAAAACAACCACAAACAGCTTAGGAGCAATAGTAAATATTAATATGCATTAGAGTAAATTACATCAACACAGTTAGGGTTATTTATTTCTTAGATAGATTAATAGTTAATAACAAAATCCACACTGTCTTTTTTCCATTGCACTTGATTTCCTAAGAAAATCAAAGTAATTTATGACATTGATGCTGAAAAACATTACAAATATCCTAATACAATAGTTTTCTACCTCATTCACAAGAATGCCCTCAAATCTAAAAGTAAAGAAATACATAGGATTTAAATCTCCAGTTTGCAAAATTAAAGTTTAAAATCATCGTTGTCGAACCTTGTGTTCTTTAAACTCTTCTGTCAATGTGCATGCTGCTAACTGTGCAAAGTGGTTTATTACATGTGTGGCTGCTGATTAAATGCTGTGTTTTAAAAGTTCACATGCCCCTGAAAAAAAAGGGGGTTAAAGTATATAAACATTGGCAGATAGCAAAGACAGTCAATCACTTGACAGCTGCATATCTTAATATGTTCCAGGTGTCCTCATACATTTTTTTTTAATCTGCAGTTTTCCTTAATCCTGTGTGTCTTCAGGCCAACTGTCTCATTTTTGGTCAAAGTCTCCCACACAGACAGATGCCTGACATGGTCACATTTCACTGCGCTCTGTCATGTTGTGGCAAACCGCTGATCACTGACCCTCTTTTTAACCTGGGCTGGACCATTTCGCAGGCGGCGAGCCTCCTGCTGGTTTCTGCACACAATTCACTCGGTGGGTGTACAAGTCAAGGGGCGACGGCAGGGTTAAGCCACTCGTGTTCTGGTTTTGATCTATCACCTCTCACCTCTGACCTCTCACACTGTGGCAGGCTGACAGTTAGCTGAGAGAGACTTTTTAAGAGATAAGATAGAACTTTATTTATCCTGAGGAAATGGTTGTTTTTAAGCGATTCAAGCGAGATGCTTCAAATGCAGCCAAATATTTATGAGCCCATCAGGCTCAAATACATTTTCCAGTGCCAAAATGCTCCAGACTGCTACTTTTACAGTCTGGCACGCAGCTTCAATCGCCTTCCTCTTCGTATACACACACCTCTGTTTGAAACTGTGTTGTGATCCTGCGTTATGAGACTCAGATGTTGTAAAATGACGTATTCGAGACTGTGTACAGATTTTTCTTTGATCATCTGGGCAGCGACAGCTGATCTCATGCCCTCTCTTTTCCTGCTTTGTGAGCCGAGAGGAGACAGGGGATTCGCTGTGTTTTACAATAACAAGCATCCTACGGGGGAAAAAAAAATCACTTTAAAGAGGCATCAGGTTTCCCACCATAAGCAGCGCTTTATCTTGGAATGCCCAGAATGTTTCGGAAACTCAGCCCTGTTTGGGTTTCATGATCCCACTTCCCTGTGTCCGTCTGGACTCAGAGCCAATAGAGTATAGGTAAACATTTATTGTGCAGCTCCCAGTGTGCACATCAGTCACTCAAATGCCCTCCGTTTATGACATGATAACAAAGCATCATTAGTAACTCATTGCAGTGTTTTAACAAGTTGACTACATTAGGATTCTGCAGGATCTGGTAGCAAACCTCAAGTGGGTTTAGGTTTTATTAGCTCAGCAGGTTCATGCTGATAAAACAAGCCACTCAACTGAAACCCTTTTCTTAAATAAGCAGAAAGTTAAAATAGAACTGTTAACATTTCTGTGTTTATTAAGACAAATGGGTGTTAGCAAAATTTTAATATTTATGTCATATTTTCACAGGATTCATCCCAGTCTGAGGTGGTGTGTGTTACCTCCCAGTGGTCTGCAGCCCCCTACCACAGCTGAAAAATGAGTTTAAGTGCCAGTGAACTGGAGGACCTGTGGGAGTCGTTCGGGGACCTGAACTTCTCTGACACCTATGCCAACATATCAAGGGTGGATGTAACCGTGTGCGTCACAGCGTTTAACCGGAGCGCTCTGCTGTACTCCATGTGCGTCCTCTACTCTTTCATCTTCGTCGTTGGCCTGGCTGCCAACGCTCTGGTCCTGTGGGTGAACATCCGCGCTCAAAGCGACTCCACCCCTCGGCACGAGACGCACACGTACATTGCTCACCTGGCCATCGCAGATCTGTGCGTGTGCGCAACTCTTCCTGTATGGGTGAGCTCGCTGGCCCAGCATGGCCACTGGCCGTTTGGTGAAGTGGCGTGCAAACTCACGCATCTGATGTTCTCCGTCAACCTCTTCAGCAGCATTTTCTTCCTGGCCTGCATGAGTGTGGACCGCTACCTAAGTGTGATGAAGCATGGGGAGGAGGGAGGCGCACGCAGGAAGTTGATTCGCCGTGGTGTATGTCTAGGGGTGTGGCTTCTTGCTTTAGTGGCCTCTATTCCAGAAACCTACTTCCTGCGGACGGTGAAGTCAGCGCATGAAGACTCCATGATCTGCAGGCCTGAGTACCCAGAGGAGAGCCACAGGGAGTGGATGGTGGGGGTGCAGTTGAGCTTCATCCTGCTCGGATTTCTTCTTCCCTTTCCAGTCATTGCAATGTTTTATGCTCTGCTAGCTCGAGCATTCTCCCGCTCCACTTCTTCATCTTCATCCTCATCATCTTCCCCTGTGGAGCAGGAGCGCCGTGTGAGCCGCAGGGTGATTCTGGCCTACATTGTGGTTTTTCTGGCTTGCTGGGGGCCCTATCATGCCGGTCTCCTTGTTGATGCACTGGTGCAGCTGGGACTGGTGCCTCTGACTTGCGGCTTGGAGAACGCGCTCTTCATGGCGTTGAATCTCACTCAGTGCCTGTCCCTGCTCCACTGCTGCTTCAATCCCATCCTCTACAACTTCATCAACAGAAACTACCGCTATGACCTTATGAAGGCTTTCATTTTTAAATACTCAACTAGGACTGGCTTGGCACGACTCATCGAGACCACAAATGTGTCCGACACTGAATATTCAGCTGTGGCTGTTGAAAATCCACCACTGATCTAAATTGCACAATCAAAATGACTCTTTGCAGTAAGTGATCTGCTATTGCCTCTGTCCAATTCAGTATCTACTTCACAGAATGCTTTAGTCATAGAAAAACTTGAAGACCACAGTTGATCATCTCTGATGGACTGATTAAAGAACGTAAAGCAGTTTATAACACCAGCTGATTTTTGAATCATTTACTCATTTTCGAGTTGTAAAGCCAAAACAGTGACTGTATAAATTGTATGAAGACATGTAGAAATGTGTGTGTTAGTGTGCGTGTGCAATGCATAATAATAGTATTAGTAAAGTAATATCTTTGTATCTAATTGTATTTATGTATGTTGTACATTTACACTGTTTTGCGTCTATTATATGTTTCACTACAAATTCTTCACGTCTTGATGTTGTACGACATCGTTTATAGTAGATAGAGCCACTGATTGGCTTTGTGCTTTAGTCCTGCTGCCTCATTTCAAAACAAAACCTCATTCTGCATCAGCTGAAGCCTTCGTAAAAGTTTTTTTTTTCTTTTTTTTATTTAAAAATCCAACCTGTGATGTTTTAAGATTTAATTCATCTTTTGCTTTAACGTGAAATTCTAATTCCTTGTATACATATTGTGACGCTACAAGGGGTTGCTGCTTAATTGCTCAGTTCAGCTTAGCTTAGACTAATTTAGTGGCCTTTCCAATTGATTGAATTACAATTATAAAGTCAGCTTCTGCAGAAAGTTTATCAATAATTAATTGTAGATAGCTCCTTGTGACCTCACTTACAAGAAATAGTTTCTTTTTCAGATTAAATTGATGAGCTAATGGCTAGTTCAAGTGTGTTCAAGACAAATGCAGATTTCTGGCCCCTTAAAACAACTTCAGTCTTAAAGACCTCATAGCACCTAATGTAAAAGTGATGTTATAAACCTGTATTTTCGTATTAGTTGTTATTTTCACAGATTTCTTTTGTGTTATTTCTGCCAGAAGAGCCCCAGGCTATACTAGAAATGCTACAATTTAGCTTTATATGCTTGTAAAACCATATAGTTCCTTGTAAAAATAAAAAAAAGGTTGTGTGAAATTGATTATTTAAAGGTTTATTAAAGAATGCCTGCAGAACTGTTATAACATTTTTGAGATTGGAGTTATTTTAAGATAATGGCGATTCATTTTGGTCTTAGACTCCTTCAGGCTAGCTGTTAGCTTGTCTGTTAGATCAGAAATAAACGGAACTATTTGCTATTTATAACAAGGGAAATGTAAGTTTTTCATAACCTTTCTTTAGAGCCTGACTTCTAAAAATCTGAACTATTGCATTAATGCTTCCTGCGCATATAAAAAATGTCAAATGTCTGTAGGCTTCACCTGAGACTACTGATCTTACATGAACCTCCTGACAAAACTGAATTCAATTTTATTACACAATACGTTATACGGTGCTGTACAGTAATTTACATCAGTGGCTGAGTTGCACACGTCCATGTGGGATCAATCCAAGTGCGTCACCACACAGGCCACCGACAGCTCAGATTTTATGAGCTAATAAATAAATGGCTTTTCTCTAATGCAGGCAGCAGCTGTGGTTCACAACATCCAAACGAGTTTGTCTGAGACCAAATATTACGAAAACATCCATGCATTGCCTTCGATTTGTGCATGTATGAACCAAAGCTTCAAACCAAGAGATGTTTTATGTGTCAAGAGACATTGAGAGTTTTTATTCACTGTATTTTTTTATATGCTGACACAGAACAGTTTGTTGGGCGATTGATTACACATGTATGTTTTTACAATGCAAAGGTTTTATGCTGAGTAAAAAAGAAAGATGTAATCATTGTTTTACAGAAACTGAGGCATTCCTTTGACATGGTAATGTGTAACACGTGTTTTGTAAAATAATAAAGACAAAGAAAACGTTCTGTCTCCTTGGTTTTTGTATGCCACAGACCTTTAGTTGAATTCTATTTAGATTTTAACAGAAAGACGTCACGCAGCATAATAAAAAGTCAAAAATACTTGAATTTACATCTGAAAAGATTTTGCTGCTTTGTTTAAGCTATTAAATTCATGAAAAACACATAAAAAACAAAGTTTCAGCTACAAAGGATGCATCAGAATCCCTTTTTGTGGTTTGTTTCAGCTGTCATGAAACGTATAAGTCACGGTACAGTTAGTGAAATTTAGGGGGAAACAATACAAATCATCCAATAACTGAAACATTTGATAGCTTTGACGTAGAGACACGCTGTCTCTAGTCTTTTTTTCATAGCGACATTAAAAATTTGAACAACTGGCTTTAGTTTGTTGCAGAAACATAAACTTTTAAAAAATATTTACAGATCAACATGTTGAAATGTTAAGATGATCTTTATGCTAACTTTATTTTGGAGAGTATAGAGTAGCATGCATGCATTTGCATTTTTATTCCACATCTTTATATATTTTACCATAATTTTTTCCTAATTTGTTACCCCGTATTCACATAATTTCATCATCTTGGCCTCTTTTTGAGACATTTAGTCACATCACCGGTTCAGATTTGGGACATTTTATTTAGTAGGCTCACAAGATGTAAAGGTTTGCTTTATCAAAAACAAATGGAGTCTCAGCACTGTTTGCTGAACTTACGGTACAGTCCTGCCACAGTGTTACAGGTCACTCTGATAAAGAAGCTGTGAAGAGAATTTCGAAGGTCACACTGAGTAAATCACCTGCCATCGATACCCCTCCAGCTTTTTATCTTTTAAACACTGCCTTGATCTTACAGCACTGCTGGCCTCCCTCTCCTTTTTCTTGTGTGAATTATTTTTCCAACTGAAGAGACCTTCTCATTTGACCTCGTCACTACCTTCCTATGGCTCTTTACAGGTCAGTGAACCTCACACCAACTCGTATGCAATGACTACGCTTTGTAGCTGGGGGAATGCCGGCTCGTTTGCTTTTGAAAGTGATCACCATGCAAACGGTTCTAAAGAAAGAGTTATGGGTCCTAATTAGGCCCATGTGCTTTTAAACTTTGATGTGCTGTAGTTTGATTAAATGCAAGCAGGTTTAGGAAAATGTGCAGATTATGTATAAAAGCAATATAAACGTTGTTTAAATTAAAAAACGGTGATACAGATAACTGTCAAGAACAGAACTTAGATATTTTTCTCAGTACAGAATCTAAAAATCTGTGTTGTGTGTAGTGGCACCTCCATATTTTTAATGGTTGCCCCAGTGAAAATCCTGGGGTGTGACACCAAAACCAAAATCCAGAACAGAACTGCAGCAGATTTGTCTTTCTTTTGTCTTTGACGTCATAGAAAACACCGATTGACGAGTCATTTTGTGTTTGTATTGTTTTCCTGTCGTTTCCCAGACTCAGTGGAGGCAGATGGCCCATCCTGAGCTTTGGTTTTCAGGAGGTTTTTCTATCTGTTCAAAGAAAGTTTTTCTTTTCCACTATCGCTAAAGTGCTTGCTCAGAATGGGAGGTTGCAACAAAGTGGAGATTTGACTCAATTTACTGGCTTCATTAGTTAAATAACTTTTACCAATTGGAATTTTATAATGTTTGAATGTTTTTCTACAGTGCCCTCAGACAACATTTGTTGTGAACTGGTGAGATATAAATAAACTGGATTGAATTAAATTGTATTTGTTATGCTGTTGGCAAATATAGGTTATTTAACAAATGATATACATAAATACTTTTTAGTTGTTGTTATTGTTTACAGTTGATGTTACTTATTGAAAAGAGTAATTACTCAACTCACTAAATCTTGTCCTCTACTAAATTAAAATTATTTAAAAAATGTGTATAAAACTGTCTGACCAAATGGTCACATGTGGGGGGCCACCTACTACCCACCTGTTAGAAGTGGCCGTTGACCCCCCCCCCCCCCCCCCCGTTTATTGGCAGCCCTGGTTGTGAGCAGAATGATACTGATTTTTATGGCTCACTACATGTTTGATGTGAGCAAACTCATAATCTTATTTCCTCATACAGAATCCATCCATCCATTATCTTTACCTGCTTCCTTTTCCAGTCGTGGGGGTCACTGGTTCCCATATCCAGCCATCACTGTGTGAGAGGCTGCGGACACCTTGGACAGGTTTGCAGTCCATCACAGGGACACATAGAGACAAACAGCCATTCACTCTCTCACTCACACCCAGAGACAATCAGAGATACCAATCAGCCTAACATGCATGTTTTTGGTCTGTGGGAGGAAACAGAGAAACCCGGAGAAAACACACGCATGCACGGAGAGAACATGCAAACTCCATCCAGAAAGGCCCCCGCATATGCTGGGAATTCATGTTTACTTACACACCCAGGAAATGATGCACATTGTATTACAGTGCAAATATTCCAGCTGGTATCATGTTTGCTGACTGTAACATATTAACCATTAACATTTTTTTAAATTATCATGTCAATACTTTTATGTCACATGAACAGGTCAAGAGGGGAAAATGGTAATGTTTACTCTTGTCTCTTATTTAGTAGCAGGACTGGATATTTTATTGGAGAAATACAAGTTATTCACATAATTTTGTTTTATTACCCTCAGATTTGTGATTTGCTCACTGCTTTAAGAGATAGTTCAGACTGAATGGGGTTTTTGTGGAAAGGTTGTGGACAATTAATATCTTACCTGTCCTAGATAGCTTTTTGAATGACCTCATTTTGGAGGTACAGCCTAATTTGGACCAGAATAATGAAGTATAGCTAGTCTGAGTGTGGCCAAGCAGATTGCTGCTACCTTAAAACAACTCCAGTGTCAAATGTTTCATATCAGTTCATGCAAACTCTGCTTTACTACACTGCTGGTAATTTTTCATTACATGGTTAATGTCAAGAGGAAATAGCAGCAGCTGCAGCAGCTAGGCCACTCCTGGTAAAGTGGCATACTATTTCTGTTGGAATGTAATGTAAAAATATCTAGTGAACTTGGTTTTATACATTTTTATTTTAAGATATGATTTAGTGAAGTCAACATCATTCCAATCTAGTCTTTTCTTTGCTCTGACTAGCCATTAACTCACCATTCTGATCTTAATTAAACAGTTTCTCCAAACAACAAGCCAGATTTTAATTGCTCAAAATCTTTCCATTGGAACCCACTTCAGAAGATCTTTCTTAAACTATTGTATTAAATTTATAATTTATATGTGAATTTCAATTTGGTTAAACTGCATCTATTTTCAGTATATTTGATGCTGAGGTTTTAAAATGTAATTTGGAGG